TCTGGGAGTCGGCTAAACTCTCGTGTGCGCGCTTCATAATCGCCGCCATGTGGGCGATCCAGTCGTCAAGCGCAGGGCAACGAGTGTCTGGGCGCAACCGCGATGATCGTAGGAAATCCACAGGTACGCGAGGGTGGTAGCCGAGGTCGCAATAGAATGGCGACATCCCCTTGGCTGGCGAAACAGCGTGGTTGTACGCAATCTCCGCGTGGGCTAAGTGTAAGTCCCACTGCTGGTCATTCCTAACAAACTTTGGGAGGATATTACCGAGAGTGTTGTTGGTGACCTCAGTCTGACCATCCGTTTGAGGGTGGTAAGACGATGAGAAGCGGAGCTGGGATCCGTACACCTCGTGTAGGCGTCGCCAGAATGTGCTGGTAAAGCGTGGGTCACGGTCGGAGATGATGCTCTGAGGTAAGCCGTGATCTCTCACGACTCGGTCGAAGACGATGTCGGCGACCTCACGAGCGCTAATGCGATAGCGGCATGGAACAAAACGTGCACGCTTCGTGAAGCGATCGACGACGACCAAGATAGCATCATGACCGCGCTGAGTGGGTGGGCGGAGGGGACCAATGAAATCCATCGAGATAGACTGCCAACGACCTTCAGGTATGGGTAGAGGCTGAAGTAACCCATACGGAAGGTGGTTCGCACTGTTCACCTCCTGGCAGGTAGGACACTCCTGGATGTAGGCTTTGACAAAGTCCTTGGACTTCGGCCAGACGTATAGGCGACAAACACGAGCCAACGTCTTATGGAAACCCATATGACCGGAGTTTCTCGGCGGATCTTGGAAATAAAAGAAGAAGAAGCAAAGGCTCCCACGCGGCGGCACAACTTTGTTTTGGAGGGTGCTGCTTTTCGCAAATCCCAGGAAACCCGAATTTGATTTTTTTAAAATTGAAAAAAAACTAGCTGCCTGGTCATGGAACTCTGCTACAGCCTGGACGCGGAGCTGTCCAGTGGAGGGAACGCATATACGTGGTTCTAGCTGACCAGATCTGCCATGCCAGTACACGAGGCCGTTCTCCCCGAGGGAGTAGGAAGGAACGGTCTTACCACTCCGCAGTGTCGCGTGGATGACGCGATAATCGGGGCAGTGGCGGTACTGAGTGCGATACGCGTCGATCGCCGACTAATCAACACTGGTGATGGAGATGGCAGCAAGATGGATGGGTTCCTGATTGTGATCAGGACGGCGGGACAAGGCATCGACGACGCGGTTCGTTTCACCCTTGATGGACTGAGTGGTGAAACTGAACTCGGATAAGTCACGCCACCACCGTGCCTGTCGAGGGGAAAGCTTAGGCTTCGTGAGGAAAGCCTGGACAGCTGAGTTGTCCGTGCGCACCGTGAAGGGCGCCCCGTGCAGATAATGACGCCAATGCCGGGTAGCATAAACTACTGTGAGAACCTCACGTTCATCGGCAGTGTAGTTTATCTCGGCAGGTAGTAGCTGACAGGAGTAGAAAGCGATCGGGCAATCCCCAGCACGAGCCTCGACCGTCCCATCCTCCGCGATGGTCGGGGAGTAAGTAATGGGAGGACTGTCAGTGGAGGGAAGTGGTGGTAGGATAGACGTCAGTCGAGAAGCAGTGTTAGCAGGAGGGGGGGGGAAAGGAGGAACATGGGGGTAAGGTGAATCTGGAGGAGAGGGAAACACCTGAGAAAGGACAGCTCCTACTACAAAATCTGACGCATCGGTGGTGACGATAAAGGGACGATCAAAATCGGGAAGGCGAAGAACCGGCGCGCAAGTCACCGCCTTCTTGAGGGCGCGGAAGGCGTCCTCGCAGAGGCGTGTCCAAAACCAAGGCGGGTTCTTCTGGAGGAGGGTGGAGGTAAGGACGTAGGAATACCTAGCGTATCCCTGGATAAAATTACTATAGTAGCTGGTGAGGCCTAGAAAGCTGCGAAGGTGCTTGGCAGATGTGGGGACGGGCCACTCTGCAATAGCAGTGATCTTCGCGTCGTCCATGTGGAGACCCTGGTCAGACACATGGTGTCCTAGGAAGTTCACTTTGCGCTGGGCAAAGCGGCACTTACTGAGCTTGGCATGAAAGCCATGCTTACGTAAGCGTTGTAGGACATCACGGAGGTGTCTGATATGGTCTTCTAAGGTATGACTGTAGACCAGGATGTCGTCCACGTATACGAGAACGTATTCTTCAAGTGTCCCTGAAGATGTCGTTCATCGCCGTCTGGAAAGTGGCGGGTGCATTGGTGAGGCCGAATGGCATCACCGTGAACTCGTAGTGGCCGAAGCGCGACCGAAAGGCGGTCTTCGGCTGGTCCTCTGCGGCAGCGCGGAGCTGGTGGTAACCGCTACGAAGATCGATCTTCGTGAAGAAGCGGTTGTCTGCCAGACGGTCAAACAACAGCCATTTCGTCAAAACGGACATATTATATTTTTTGAACGAAATCAAAACTGATTTTTTTTGCCAGAATCCGGTCGGAATTTTTTGCTCTTGGGGTCCGGCGTTCCCAAAACGCCG